TGACTCCATACACAGTTTCAAATGTAGATATGACAGAGCCCGATAGGCTCATGAATCTGTACACCTGTTGATTGACGGTTGAGAGGCGGGACCAAAGAGCCAGAGCTCAACCCCCGCAAACACAACTGGGTGAGTACACACACACACACACACACACACACACACACTCACACACTCACATTTCTATTGCCTTTGGAGCTAATCTCTGCCTCTGGAAGGCTTTGGCCTCTCAGGAACCCTACTACTGATTTCCTCTCCAGTTGCATCCGGTCCGCCTTGTTGAGTATTGTCGTCATCTCAGGCTGTCCCAGGATGATTACCCTTCTCTCCTTGTCTATTATCCTCCTAGTATTTTCTTTCATGGTCTGGGAATTTGCTATTTGGAGGGCAGCATCCATCATTTTTTACTTTCCACTGTGTGGTTCTTGTTGACTCCTTGGCTCATGTGGTGTCATGTACAGGGTCAAGGTTTTCCAACTTAGCCATTGAGGCTAAACTTGAAAAGCCACTGAGGCTCATTAGCAGAATAACGACAGCTGCATATGGCATACCGGCCAACGTCCGTGAATCCTTCAGAAACTTGGTCAATGGAGCTTTCCGGTCACTATATACAACGAAGGTGAGACCCACTCTTGAATATGCAGCCCCAGCATGGAGCCCTTACATGAGAAAGGACAAGGAACTAGAAGAGGTACAAAGATACGCAGTGAGACTCGTTCCGGAGACGAGGGGATCGAGCTATGAGGAAAGATTTAGAGCACTGGATCTTACAACGCTGGAGGAAAGAAGGGATAGTGGGGACATGATAGCAACATATGAGATTCTGAGGGACATTTACAAAGTAGACAAAGCAGAGTTGTACACATTAGGAACAGCAGAATGAGGAGTCATAGATGGAAACTAGAGAAGCAGATGAGTCATAGAGCATCAGGAAAGCTTTTTTCAGTGTTAGATGTGTCAATAAATTGAACAGCTTAGATGCAGTAGTAGTTGAAGCTAATGCGAGTCAGAACTGTAAATGTAAATATGATAAAAATGAGTCATAGCATTAATGTCAGAACGTCGGAAGGCGGGGCTAGGAGCCTAGCTCGACCCAGCAAGCACATCTAGGTGAGAACACACGCACACGCGTCACAACTACCAAATTATGACGTGTTAACACTTCCCTGCAGCAGACTGATGAAGAAAAGGACCTTGGAGTCAAAGCCCGGGAAACACAAACCGAAACTGTCTCTGTTTTCCGCTTGTTACAACTTGTAATAAAGTTGTCACGTCTTGGCTTAACGTGTTTATGACGTATTAGAACGTTGTCACAACTTGCTATATTGGTTGTTATAACTAGTTAGGAAGTGTTAGGAAGTGTTAGAAACTTGTTTGAACGTTGTAACAACGTCGTAGTTTCGGTGTGTGTTTGGCGGGAGTCCACCACTCACTGAAACTTGCACAACAGATTGGAGCAGCAGTAAAGAAAGGCTGACCAAACCCTAGGAAAAATAAAGCGAACCTTTGACTTTAAAGAAAAGAAGTTAGTTATTTGAGGGGAGGGCGGGGATCCTCGATATAAGCCTAACGTGTATGTATATACTCTGGCTGCCTGTCCCCAGACACAATGAATTATACAAACGAGGTTATAATCTGTTTGTTCTGTGCGGGGAGCAGGTTATTTATACCTAGCTGTACCCGGCCACGCGTTGCTGTGGCTCAGCAACCTTCCCTCTCCCCCAGTCCTCCTCCACTATCCCCCCCCCCTCACCCGTCCCCTCGGCCTGCCAACCATTTCCCACTCCACCATCCCCTCTTCCTTCCCACCATGCCTCACTCCCCTATCTGTTTGTCCTCCCCACCATTCTCCATTCCCCCATCCCCTCGTCCCCACCATCCCAAACTCCCACGTCCCCTCGTCCCCACCATCACAAACTCCCCACGTCCCCTCGTCCCCACCATCCCAAACTCCCACGTCCCCTCGTCCCCACCATCCCAAACTCCCACGTCCCCTCGTCCCCACCATCCCAAACTCCCACGTCCCCTCGTCCCCCCCATCCCAAACTCCCCCGTCCCCTCGTCCCCCCCATCCCAAACTCCCACGTCCCCTCGTCCCCACCATCCCAAACTCCCCCGTCCCCTCGTCCCCCCCATCCCAAACTCCCACGTCCCCTCGTCCCCACCATCCCAAACTGCCACGTCCCCTCGTCCCCACCATCCCAAACTGCCACGTCCCCTCGTCCCCACCATCCCAAACTCCCACGTCCCCTCATCCCCACCATCCCAAACTCCCACGTCCCCTCGTCCCCACCATCCCAAACTCCCACGTCCCCTCGTCCCCACCATCCCAAACTCCCACGTCCCCTCGTCCCCACCATCCCAAACTCCCACGTCCCGTCGTCCCCACCATCCCAAACTCCCACGTCCCCTCGTCCCCACCATCTCAAACTTCCGCATCCCCTCGTCCTTCCCCACCATTATCCCCTCCCTTGTTCCCTCGTCCTCCCCACCATCTCTCACTTTCATGTGGGAATAATAGGAAATGACATTGCAGACGAAGCTGCAAAACTTCCTACTAAGAGAAGAAATGTAGACATTTACATACCACAGAGTTTATCACAGATTAAGAAAGTAATTAGAAACTGAGCAATGCAAAAGATGTACAGTGACCACAACACAGCAGTTGCAACATCAGGATCTGCGGGTTGGTACAAGAATTCAACCAACTACGAACCACTTAGTGTGATGAAAGGGAACAGTAGAGCAACAGAAGTACACTTAGATCACATCAGGCTTGGATACCCATGTGCATGGGAAATAGGCTTACAGGTTCCGGAAGATGAGAGGAAATGTCAACACTGTGGAGAAATGCCCGACAGATCACTGGAACATTATATAACACAGTGCACAGTTACAAACCCATTAAGATTTCAACTTAGATTCAGCAGAGAAGAAGAAGTTGTTAAACACATATGACAAAATCTTACTGAAGCGACCATACGAGTCATGAATACTCATACTCCACCCAAGTAAAACAGAAACAAGCAACACTTAGTGGGCCAGCCAGAGGCCTAGGGCCCGCCCAGTGGGCCAGCCAGAGGCCTAGGGCCCGCCCAGTGGGCCAGCCAGAGGCCTAGGGCCCGCCCAGTGGGCCAGCCAGAGGCCTAGGGCCCGCCCAGTGGGCCAGCCAGAGGCTTAGGGCCCGCCCAGTGGGCCAGCCAGAGGCCTAGGGCCCGCCCAGTGGGCCAGCCAGAGGCCTAGGGCCCGCCCAGTGGGCCAGCCAGAGGCCTAGGGCCCGCCCAGTGGGCCAGCCAGAGGCCTAGGGCCCGCCCAGTGGGCCAGCCAGAGGCCTAGGGCCCGCCCAGTGGGCCAGCCAGAGGCCTAGGGCCCGCCCAGTGGGCCAGCCAGAGGCCTAGGGCCCGCCCAATGGGCCAGCCAGAGGCCTAGGGCCCGCCCAGTGGGCCAGCCAGAGGCCTAGGGCCCGCCCAGTGGGCCAGCCAGAGGCCTAGGGCCCGCCCAGTGGGCCAGCCAGAGGCCTAGGGCCCGCCCAGTGGGCCAGCCAGAGGCCTAGGGCCCGCCCAGTGGGCCAGCCAGAGGCCTAGGGCCCGCCCAGTGGGCCAGCCAGAGGCCTAGGGCTCGCCCAGTGGGCCAGCCAGAGGCCTAGGGCCCGCCCAGTGGGCCAGCCAGAGGCCTAGGGCCCGCCCAGTGGGCCAGCCAGAGGCCTAGGGCCCGCCCAGTGGGCCAGCCAGAGGCCTAGGGCCCGCCCAGTGGGCCAGCCAGAGGCCTAGGGCCCACCCAGTGGGCCAGCCAGAGGCCTAGGGCCCGCCCAGTGGGCCAGCCAGAGGCCTAGGGCCCGCCCAGTGGGCCAGCCAGAGGCTTAGGGCCCGCCCAGTGGGCCAGCCAGAGGCTTAGGGCCCGCCCAGTGGGCCAGCCAGAGGCTTAGGGCCCGCGCAGGAATATCCCTGCAAAAGAAAAAAAAAACTCACTTCCGTCCCCTCGTCATCCCCACCATTCCCCACTCCCTCGTCCGATGTCTTCCCAAATGGTCTGATGTTCCCATCAGAAAATTGGGAACATCAAGTGATCTGATGTTCCCATCACTGAAATATAAGAAAAACAGTTAAAAAATGAATTGAAAATATGAAAAAATAAAAAATAAACTATACTCACGAAATTAATGGTATGGTAAACATACCATTAATTTCGAATTTTGCCGTAGCTCCGAGGGGCTACGAGAAGCTCCAAGGAGCTACGAGGAACTCCTAGGGGCTACGAAGAGCTCCGAGGGGGGCTACGAGGAGCTTTGAGGGGCTACGAGGAGCTCGGAGTGGCTACGAGGAGATCCGAGTGGGGCTACGCTGGAGGAGCTCCGAGGGAATACGAGGAGCTCGGAGGGGGCTACGAGGAGCTCGGAGGGGGCTACGAGGTGCTCCGAGGTGCTACGAGGAGCTGCGAAGAGCTACGAGGAGCTCCGAGGGGGCTACGAGGTACCTTGACAAGGTACCACATAAGAGACTAGCAAGGAAATAAGAGGCACATGGGTACACTGGCACAATGGGAGAATACTGGAATAGATAAAACAATGGTTAAAACTTAGAAAACGAAGGGTCGTGCTAAATAGGAATGGATCTGACTGGGGAAATATTGTAAGTAGGAAGGGGGGTGCCACAAGGGCTCACCTTGGGGCCAACCCTTCTTGTCACGTACATCAATGACACGGATGAGAATATTATAAACATCATCAAATTTACTGATGACACTGAGCTCTGTGGTAAAGTGGGAAGGTGATATTGAGACTTTACAAAGAGATCAACATGGCCTCTAGAAATGATCAGATGACTGGCTAATGCTTTTTAATGTCGATAAATGCAAGACCTTGCAGGTGGGGTCTAAAAATCCACGTTACACCTACCAAACTGGCAGCACTACCTTACAACAGATAGACCAAGAAAGTGATATTATTATTATTATTATTATTATTATTATAGTCCAACAATTATCCGTGTATAAACCTACAGGGTACGCGGATATGGGTGCCGCCTGGCGGGGGGAGCTGGAACTAGGCAGAGACGTGAACGTTTGGGCAGTGGTTGAGAGAGTGTACAGCCAGGTGGCTGATGTGTACACCTTGGTGCACGCTCATGTACGCCAGGCCCTGGTCAAGCAATACGGTCGCAGCCTCGTCGACCCCACGGCTCCTATCCCAGCACATCTGGTGGGTGAGTTTGTTGATGCTACATGTGTACCTGTGTCCAGGTGTGGAGGCTTCTACACGGCACATGTGCACCTCCACCAACACTACTGTGCCCAGGTGTGGAGGCTTCTACACGGCACATGTGCACCTCCACCAACACTACTGTGTCCAGGTGTGGAGGCTTCTACACGGTACATGTGCACCTCCACCAACACTACTGTGTCCAGGTGTGGAGGCTTCTACACGGCACATGTGTACCTCCAACACTACTGTGTCCAGGTGTGAAGGCTTCTACACGGCACATGTGCACCTCCACCAACACTACTGTGCCCAGGTGTGGAGGCTTCTACACGGCACATGTGCACCTCCACCAACACTACTGTTTCCAGGTGTGGAGGCTTCTACACGGCACATGTGCACCTCCACCAACACTACTGTGTCCAGGTGTGGAGGCTTCTACACGGTACATGTGCACCTCCACCAACACTACTGTGTCCAGGTGTGGAGCCTTCTACACGGTACATGTGCACCTCCACCAACACTACTGTGTCCAGGTGTGGAGGCTTCTACACGGCACATGTGTACCTCCAACACTACCTCTGCTCACAGAGTAAAGGAAGTACCTAAACGAATTTTGGTTGTGGGAGAAACCCAGGTGAGGTATTTAGATAGAACTTTTTGTGCCAGAGATAAGGGGGGAACAGGTTAAGGGTTTGTTATCAGGGAGCTGTAATTGGTAATAAACAACATGAATGATATTATGACTGGAAATGGGAATAAACCCATTATTTATATCAGTTCAGGTGGAAATAATGTTGGATGAGTTAAGAGTGAGGCGCTGATACAGAGGTTTAAGACAGCCATAGAACTAATTAGGAGCAAGGGAAGAATCCCGATCATATGTGGCATTCTTCCAAGAATAGATTTGTAGGATAAAACTCTGGCACCTGGGGCCAGTGGGGCCTCGTAGCCTGGTGGATAGCGCGCAGGACTCGTAATTCTGTGGCGCGGGTTCGATTCCCGCACGAGGCAGAAACAAATGGGCAAAGTTTCTTTCACCCTGAATGCCCCTGTTACCTAGCAGTAAATAGGTACCTGGGAGTTAGTCAGCTGTCACGGGCTGCTTCCTGGGGGTGGAGGCCTGGTCGAGGACCGGACCGCGGGGACACTAAAGCCCCGAAATCATCTCAAGATAACCTCAAGATAACCTGCTGGGCCGCAGGTGTCGGATTTTCAAAAAGCTGATTTTAATTGTCTAAGAAATTTTTGGGTTGAAATAGATCGGAAAGTCCTGGGGGACGCACCATGGTGTAGTCCAGGGGGGACGCAACATGGTGTAGGCCAGGGGGGACGCAACATGGTGTAGGCCAGGGGGGACGCACCATGATGTAGGCCAGGGGGGACGCACCATGGTGTAGGCCAGGGGGGACGCACCATGGTGTAGGCCAGGGGGGACGCACCATGGTGTAGGGGGGGACGCACCATGGTGTAGGCCAGGGGGGACGCAACATGGTGTAGGCCAGGGGGGACGCAACATGGTGTAGGCCAGGGGGGACGCACCATGGTGTAGTCCTGGGGAAGAAAGAGCAGCTTCATATCAGCTTCCTGCAATGGTCAGAAGGCAGAAAGAACAATGAAAACAAGAGAGGTTGACAGCCATTCATGAGCCAATTGGTTGACAGCCAATACGTTCGATATACCAAGTAGTCTCTGAGAGGGTGCCGACGAAATGTAAGCAGACTTCGTCATGCAAGCCCCTTGAGAATTGCTGCCAGCAGACTAAAAGATTATGGCTCTTGAAGGAAAAAAAGAGCCAGACTATCTTGAGGTTATGTTGAGATGATTTCGGGGCTTTAGTGTCCCCGCGGCCCGGTCCTCGACCAGGCCTCCACCCCCAGGAAGCAGCCCGTGACAGCTGACTAACACCCAGGTACCTATTTTACTGCTAGGTAACAGGGGCATAGAGTGAAAGAAACTCTGCCCATTGTTTCTCGCCGGCGCCTGGGATCGAACCCAGGACCACAGGATCACAAGTCCAGCGTGCTGTCCGCTCGGCCGACCGGCTCCAACTAGTCCTCATCTGCTACGTAATATTGCACAGATGCATATAGAACCAAACATGGCATCAGACAGCTTCACCTACTTCACAGATGGATCAGTGGACCAGCAGGGACAAGAAACTGGAGCTGCTGTTATAGCAGGAAACTCTGTAGTTAGTTGGGGACTCTCAAATGGGTGTTCAACTTTACAAACAGAGATGCTAGCCATTCAAAAGGCTTTGGAACATGCTCTTGCTGAACACCGACAACATGTTATACATACAGATTCGAGAACTGCCATTGAAACCTTGCAACAAGAACACATATGTGACAACATCCATTTCATGACAAATGCCAGAATTAATGTAGTCAAGGCCGTCGGGTAATTATCAACTGGGTGCCAAGTCATGTGGGAATAAAAGGAAATGACATTGCAGACGAAGCTGCAAAACTTGCAACTAAGAGAAGAAATGTAGACATTTACATACCACAGAGTCTATCACAGATTAAGAAAGTAATTAGAAACAGAGCAATGCAAAAGATGTAAAGTGACCACAACACAGCAGTTGCAACATCAGGATCTGCGGGTTGGTACAAGAATTCCACCAACTACGAACCACTTAGTGTGATGAAAGGGAACAGTAGAGCAACAGAAGTACACTTAGATCGCATCAGGCTTGGATACCCATGTGCATGGGAAATAGGCTTACAGGTTCCGGAAGATGAGAGGAAATGTCAACACTGTGGAGAAATGCCCGACAGATCACTGGAACATTATCTAACACAGTGCACAGTTACAGCCACAACAGACCACTGGAACATTATCTAACACAGTGCACAGTTACAGCCACAACAGACCACTGGAACATTATCTAACACAGTGCACAGTTACAGCCACAACAGACCACTGGAACATTATCTAACACAGTGCACAGTTACAGCCACAACAGACCACTGGAACATTATCTAACACAGTGCACAGTTACAGCCACAACAGACCACTGGAACATTATCTAACACAGTGCACAGTTACAGCCACAACAGACCACTGGAACATTATCTAACACAGTGCACAGTTACAGCCACAACAGACCACTGGAACATTATCTAACACAGTGCACAGTTACAGCCACAACAGACCACTGGAACATTATCTAACACAGTGCACAGTTACAGCCACAACAGACCACTGGAACATTATCTAACACAGTGCACAGTTACAGCCACAACAGACCACTGGAACATTATCTAACACAGTGCACAGTTACAGCCACAACAGACCACTGGAACATTATCTAACACAGTGCACAGTTACAGCCACAACAGACCACTGGAACATTATCTAACACAGTGCACAGTTACAGCCACAACAGACCACTGGAACATTATCTAACACAGTGCACAGTTACAGCCACAACAGACCACTGGAACATTATCTAACACAGTGCACAGTTACAGCCACAACAGACCACTGGAACATTATCTAACACAGTGCACAGTTACAGCCACAACAGACCACTGGAACATTATCTAACACAGTGCACAGTTACAGCCACAACAGACCACTGGAACATTATCTAACACAGTGCACAGTTACAGCCACAACAGACCACTGGAACATTATCTAACACAGTGCACAGTTACAGCCACAACAGACCACTGGAACATTATCTAACACAGTGCACAGTTACAGCCACAACAGACCACTGGAACATTATATAACACAGTGCACAGTTACAGCCACAACAGACCACTGGAACATTATCTAACACAGTGCACAGTTACAAACCCAATAAGATTTCAACTTGGATTCAACAGAGCAGAAGTAGTTGTTAAACACGTGGGACAAAATCTTACTGAAGCGACCATACGAGTCATAACTACTCATACTCCGCATAAGTAAAACAGAAACAAGCAACACTTAGTGGGCCAGCCAGAGGCTTAGGGCCCGCCCAGTGGGCCAGCCAGAGGCTTAGGGCCCGCCCAGTGGGCCAGCCAGAGGCTTAGGGCCCGCCCAGTGGGCCAGCCAGAGGCTTAGGGCCCGCCCAGTGGGCCAGCCAGAGGCTTAGGGCCCGCCCAGTGGGCCAGCCAGAGGCTTAGGGCCCGCCCAGTGGGCCAGCCAGAGGCTTAGGGCCCGCCCAGTGGGCCAGCCAGAGGCTTAGGGCCCGCCCAGTGGGCCAGCCAGAGGCTTAGGGCCCGCCCAGTGGGCCAGCCAGAGGCTTAGGGCCCGCCCAGTGGGCCAGCCAGAGGCTTAGGGCCCGCCCAGTGGGCCAGCCAGAGGCTTAGGGCCCGCCCAGTGGGCCAGCCAGAGGCTTAGGGCCCGCCCAGTGGGCCAGCCAGAGGCTTAGGGCCCGCCCAGTGGGCCAGCCAGAGGCTTAGGGCCCGCCCAGTGGGCCAGCCAGAGGCTTAGGGACCTCACAGGTATATCATTGAAAAAAAGGCGCTAGCGGAAGGGTTAATCTTTATAAAAGAATATGAGGTGAGTGTCGCTGAGGATTTGTTTGGGTGTATCGCAGCTTGCCGTGTTAGAAGACTCGAGGGGAGTGGCAGGGGTGAGTGTGGGGAGTGGCAGGGGTGAGTGTGGAGAGTGGCAGGGGTGAGTGTGGGTCAGGGAGAGGGAGTGTGCATCATGGGGGCGTGATCACACACTGTGAGAGGTCCAGGTGTGAGGTGGGGCTGTGTGAGGTGGGGCTGAGGGTGTGGCTGTGTGAGGTGGGGCTGTGTGAGGTGGGGCTGAGGGTGTGGCTGTGTGAGGTGGGGCTGAGGGTGTGGCTGTGTGAGGTGTGGCTGAGGGTGTGGCTGTGTGAGGTGGGGCTGAGGGTGTGGCTGTGTGAGGTGGTGCTGAGGTGTGGCTGTGTGAGGTGGGGCTGAGGGTGTGGCTGTGTGAGGTGGTGCTGAGGGTGTGGCTGTGTGAGGTGGGGCTGAGGGTGTGGCTGTGTGAGGTGGTGCTGAGGGTGTGGCTGTGTGAGGTGGTGCTGAGGGTGGC